GGAAGGTGACCAAGTGCCACCGAGGGGCCCTGACGACCGGCCCAGTGACCAACTGCCACCTCGAGTCAAGAACCCTCCAGTATCGTTGGAGGAAGTCGAAGACGAAGAAGCGCACCTTAGGTCCAACATCCCGATTACCGCTCCCAAGGGGAAGTCTTTTGTGACCCCCGACCCCGAGTTAGCAACCGAGATCAAGAAAGCCGTTTTGGACACATACTACGAGCCCTTCGGGACCCACTGGACCCGCAGGGCGCTACGGCTCGCTACGAACGAGTCGGCCGCTCTCGCCTCCCTTAAACAATGGGTGCACCCTCGTAGGACGGGGGAGGTAACCGTCGAACTGTGGGAGGAACTCAAGGAGCAACCCGAGACCGCCAAGGAGGCCAGGGACCGATGGGAATGGATGGAGGACCTGAAGAAGGCGCCCATGTACATACGAGGAAGAAAGGGGCGTAATGTATCGATCAATTTACAGTTGGAGATGTTGGACACCAAAGAAGTGCATGCTTTAAAAGCGCTAGTCGACAGCGGAGCCACCGGCAGTTCTATCGACCGAGCCTGGGCCCGGGCCCATGCCCTTAATCTTAAAAAGGCGGCCCGCCCCGTCCTGGTCTACAATGCCGATGGCACCCGGAACAAGGGTGGGGACATAACCGAGTATGCCGAAGTACGGCTGCGAATAGGAGACCATGTGGAGCAGATCGAACTCGCCATGGTAGACCTAGGCACCACCCCCCTATTCCTAGGGCATGACTGGCTCCAAAGACACAATCCGCTCATCGACTGGGATACCGGGGCAGTAACTTTAGCCCGCTGTGCTTGCCGGAAGATCCCCTTTACCTTGCCTGATACCGATCCTACCTCACGCTGGGAAGAGTATGAGGAAGGAGATACCATTCTAGTTATAGACTTCGAAGAAGCCTTTCACGTGCGAGCCATGGGAACCAAGGCCAATGAATTAGCTGCCCAGGCCAACGCCAAAAAGACAACCAAGTCATTCGAAGAGATAGTACCGGAGGAGTATCGGGAGTTCCAAGATGTATTCGCCAAGGAAAATTTTGACGAGCTACCTCCACGTAAACCTTGGGACCATGCCATCGAACTAATCCCCAACGCTAACGCCAACCTAGACTGCAAAGTCTACCCGCTTAACCCCGCTGAGCAAGAAGAGTTGGACCGATTCCTTGACGAAAACCTGTCCACAGGCCGCATCCAAGCCTCAAAGTCCCCCATGGCGTCGCCTTTTTTCTTTGTTAAAAAGAAGGACGGGAAGCTTCGCCTGGTACAGGATTATCGAAAGCTTAATGAAATGACTATCAAGAACCAGTACCCCCTGCCTCTCATCGGGGAACTTATGGACCGACTCAAGAAGGCCAAGTACTTCACTAAACTGGATGTCCGATGGGGGTACAATAACGTTAGGATCAAACAAGGGGACGAGTGGAAAGCAGCTTTTCGAACCAATCGTGGTCTGTACGAACCCTTGGTTATGTTCTTCGGACTTACCAACTCCCCCGCGACGTTTCAATGGATGATGAACGATATCTTCAAGGATCTCATCGCGGCCGGGGAAGTATCCGTCTACTTGGACGACATCCTTATCGCCTCGCAATCAAAGGAGGACCATCGGCGCATCGTACGCAAGGTGCTGAAAATCCTCCGAGACAACCACTTATTCCTCAAAGCCGAAAAGTGCGAGTTTGAAGTCGAGGAAACTGAATATTTGGGAGTACTCATCAGCGAGGGAAGGATTCGCATGGACCCCGTAAAGATTGCGGGCCTGCTTGACTGGCCAGTGCCGTCCAAAAGGCAGGAGCTACAGTCGTTCCTAGGATTCTGCAATTTCTACTGACGATTCATCCGCGATTACAGCAAGCACGTTCGACCACTAACCTCCCTGACGGGGAAGGTAGAGTGGAAATGGGGAAAGGACCAACAAGAGGCGTTCGAGAGGCTCAAGGAGCTATTCCATGAAGACGTGGTGCTAGCCATCCCATTAGACAAAGGGAAGTTCCGACTAGAGGCGGACTCCAGTGAAGGCGCGATTGGGGCGGTACTATCCCAATGGCAGGAGGAGAAGTGGCGGCCCATAGCCTTTCTCTCGAAGGCCTTGTCTGTCACTGAACGCAATTACGAAATCTACGACAAGGAACTCCTCACCATCATGATCGCGTTAGAGGAGTGGCGCCAATATCTCCTGGGCGCGCGAGAAGACTTTGAGATTTGGACCGATCACTCCAATCTCCAGTACTTCCGCAAGCCCCAGAAGCTCAACCGACGACAAGCCCGATGGGTAACTGAGTTGGCAGAATACCAATTCACCCTGCATCATAAGCCGGGAGCCCAGAATCGCAAGGCGGACTTATTATCTAGGAGGGCAGACCACGATCAGGGGAAGGAGGACAACAAGGATGTGACAGTCTTAAAGCCAGAACATTTCCGAGCCCTGATCATGCCCACTGAGGAGGAGCTACACGAGAAGATCAAGCTAGCCACCCACGACCCCTGCAAGTGGGATCGAGGGATATCCGACTCCCTAAACCATGAAAAGGGGGTGTCGCGAGAGTGCAACCTGTTATGGTACGACGGACGAATCTACGTCCCAATAGATCGACGACTACGGGGGGAGATTATCGCCTTGCGGCATGATCATGCCACGGCTGGGCACCCCGGCATAGAGAAGACTAAGGAGCTTATCCTGCGGGATTACTGGTGGCCACGAATGCATGTGGAAATAGAGGCATACGTGAAGGGATGCGAGGTATGCCAACGAACGAAGGCCGATCGTCGACCCAAGAAGGCACCCCTTCACCCCAATGAGGTGCCCAATCGACCGTGGACCCATATCTCGGTCGACATGATCACCAAACTTCCCGGATCTAAGGGGTACGACTCTATTCTGGTTATCGTAGACCGATTCTCGAAAACGATCATTCCGATTGCCTGCACCGAAGAGCTCACGTCTCTCGGATTTGCCAAGATACTTCGGGACCACGTCTACGTACCATACGGGGTAATGCCAGAGAAGGTCATTTCGGACAGAGGGGCAATCTTCGTATCCAAGTTCATGAAGGAGTTTTACGCCCTCATTCAAGTTACGGGAAACCCCTCTACCGCATATCACCCTCAGACTGACGGACAAACCGAACGGGTCAACCAGGAAATTGAGAAGTACCTCAAGATGTTCGTCAATTACCGACAAGACGATTGGAGCGATTGGCTGTCGCTGGCCACGTTTACCCACAATAACCGAACTCATTCGGCCACGGGTTATTCTCCCTACAAAGTGGTATTTGGACATGACGGACAAGTCATCAAGACGGCCCGACGCCCCGATCTCGTGCCCACGGCGTCAAAGTTGGTCCAAGGGATTCAGGAGGTGCAGGAGAGAGCGAGAGAGTCATTAGAGCGGGCGGCCGAGTCGATGAAGAAGGCCTACGACAAACACAAGGACAAAGCCGTGGAGTATCAGATTGGAGATAAGGTCTGGTTGGACGCTACCAACCTAAACCTTCCTAGACCCACGAAAAAGCTTGGGGACCGACGTGTAGGCCCATTCGTCGTATCTGCCAAGAAGGGAGCTTCCGCCTATGAGCTCAAACTTCCCATAGGCTGGAAGATTCATAATCGATTCAACGAGTCCCTGCTGACGCCTTACCATGCCCCGGAATTCCCGAACCAACTGCATCCAGAGAGACCACCTCCCGAGCTGATCGACGACAAGGAGGAATATGAAATTGAAGAAATTGTGGGGGAACGAGAGAAGGTTGTAGGGCGAGGACGCACCTGTCGCACCATTATGGAATATTTGGTGAAGTGGAAAGGATACCCTTCAGAAGAAAACTCATGGGTAAAACGTTCCGACATGGCCAACGCGGAAGAACTCGTAAATGACTACGAGATGCGCATCCAAAAAATCATCTGGACGGTGGATCCAAAAGGACGGACAGTGGGGGTAGATGACAAAATACCGTGCAACCTCCCGGTGGAATATCATGAGCCCGACACCCCTTGCCTCACTGACATAATCACGGTGCCATCCTCCCAATGCTCGGCGGTCGCTCACTCGGAAGAAATCGATAGGATAGTCGAAGACATGCCCATCAACTGGCACCCGGCCTTCAATCCTGAACTGGAGAAAGACTTTGTGGAAGGAAAATGGCCGAAAGTCACAACCGACGAAGCGGAAGGGATTCCGATCATCCATGACGAAACCGACAACGAGGAGGAAGTCAATATCCAAAACCTCCAACGTATTCATGAAAATTGGAACGCTGACAATGACGAGACGGACGAGGACGATGATGAACCCTCGTCCTTCTACTCAGAATCACGTCATTCCACCTCAAGCAATGACGATTGGGAGTCGGACGACCCTTCCGACTCAAACGAATCATGAAAAAAGCATAGAAAATTCACGGTGTAGAAGGGGATTTCCACCGCTCAATTTCGAGCATTGAACCCTTAGGGACAGGGAGTCCCGACAGACAGCAAGAGGCCTAACCGGCGCAAGGTGGTCCTGGATATCCACGGGTACCAGGATCCAGGTGAAGCTAGGGAGGAGGCCGACGGCAGTACTCGAGGCCCAGCAGACCCAATGCTAAACTGTTTTAAAGCAGAAGGGAGCCCCTCTTGCTCGACGATGTGGAAGGATGGGGACATATTCTCATTCGGGACGAATGAGTCTTAAGGAGGGGGTAATGTTACGGTTATTCTTTTCTTTTCTCTTCTTTTCTTTTTCTCCGCTTTACTAAGCACGATTACCCTCATGCAATCACAACAGACGCCTTCCCACAGTACTATTTTTAGTTACCCAACGTGTATTTAAGTAGAGCCTTAGCTGGTCTGAAACCCAGCTTCGGCTAAGGTTTAATCTACCTAACATCGAACTCCGTCCTTCGTGACTATCTGTCCCATCGACTTTCATCGCCTTTGACTTGCTAGAGCGTCTCTCACCGAAGTGCGAGTGAGGATCCTAGCACGATCTAAGTCGATTAGAGTTAGTGGCTAACATCATAGTTGACTTTGATTGTTCCGTAGAGCCAGATCTAGAGGTCAATTCATCAGTTGAGGTGATTTGAAAGAAGAGGAGGCCAACCTAACCTTTTCGTCCCCAATAAACTGCTCGAACTGGAACTTGTTGCCATTGACAACAGGAACAACATGGGGTAGGTCTTTAAACAAATCCTTCACATACTTTGATAGCTTTTCCGAAAACTTTTTGAAGGCTATATCCTCCCGCTTTGAATCCATCAACTCCTTTATCAACATCATTCCGCCCCCTTTACCACGATTTCCATGCAATGTGGCTTTTCCAGAGTAATCATGCAGCTGTTCTTCCATCTCGTCCTCTATTTCTTCATCTGCCTGCTGGGAATCCTGCCACGCCTTTAGCAACTCATCCTGAACGTCGATTTGCTGCTGTATAAAGCCTGCGGCATTGCACCATGAATCTATTTGGAGGATCTGCTCAGCGACCTCTTTGAAGTTCATCCTTAGCTGATATGCATCCTTGAGTGGACCATGCATATTTTCATTGGGCTTGGTGTCATAATTCCAGGATACTCCTTTTGCCAGAATGTCATCAGGGAGATGCCGGTGTGAATGTACCTTCGGAAAGTTCCAAGACTTTGGTTTCTCGCTAACTGTTCAAGTGAGTTCTTGGTACTCCTGATATGATCATTCAGCTTCAGGGGACTAATTTTAATTAATGTAGGACTGCTTCACCTTGATCAGCTTTCCAAATTTGGTGCTTTCCTCTCGGAGAGCCTTTATAGAACTTTCAGTATGAAGAGTAAACTCTGCATACACATTGAGAACAAGGTAGCTACGGATGCACTTCAATAAATGATATCCATGGCTGTCCTGTGTCTCGCTGAGTATGTTGTGTGTGACAAATATAATTTGCTGTGTTTATTGTCATTTAAATATCAAACTAACACAAACTCGGCTCACCTTTGATAGATCCTCATACTTAGTGCCATCGGTAAAGGTAACTGCCATGAAGCCACTTTCAAAATGATTCAAATCCCTCCAACGAGGAAACTTTTGAACTCTAGAAGCATTGTGAGTTTAATGAGGTGTCACTCATGAAAAGGAGCTTACTGATTATCAGCTTGACTAGCATAAGCATGTCCAAGAGCTTTGATACGACGGACAAGTTCTCCTCGAAGATGATGCCCAAAGAGACCATCCTGAAAGGCGTGTAGCCTATCCCAAGAAAGGGACCGGAATGGATCACATGCCTCAATAGTCCAAAAGACGTTCTGAAAGCCAAAGGTTTGTTACTACACTTCTCATAATGGGAAAAAAAACTTATGTCGATGTTTCGCAGCCCAAACTCACCAAGATAATCATCCCACAATTCCTGGGTCCTAAGTCCTCTGGCCCTTTGAAGAATTTCTCTGGTACGTTCAGAAGTTCGGAGTTCATATTCCATCTCCAGATTATATTGTTCTAGCTTGAGAACTAGGCAAATTGGACATGGTGCGTCACCATTAACGCCTCGTATCAGAACCATCATTGCCCTAATGATGGTATCAATACATGCTATGCAAGGAAATAATGTGAGGACTGACGCTTCCTCATAGTCACATGATAAAATAGGAAATTGTGGAAAGAGTTGGAGATCTCGTTTTGCAAGGGAAAGGTGAATCCAAGCCCCAAACCTACTGGGATCAACCATTGTTTCTAGAACATACTTCATCACCGTATGCCATACACGACGCTTGAAATCAACATAATATTTCTTTCCGGTATGTTTTGGATCCTCCTTTATCTGCATTTCATTGATTCAGATTCAAAAACATTCTAACAGGATGGAATATTTCAGACCACTGGCAACCAACCAACAACACATCCACCGCCAACTCCTTTTCCATTCCGAATGTGAACGGGCAGATTTCCACAACGCGCCACTACTGGATAACCTTGTGCAGTCCCAAATGATGATAGACGGGTTTTGTCTGCATACAGGATAATGTACAATGGCTTTCCACCCTCTGGCAGGGCCATCTAGAGAGGAAAAAGAGATTGAATAAAATGTCAGGTAGGTTAGAAGGTTCGTACTCACTTGGAGATCCCAAAATGCTTGGGCGGTCCAAGGTTCATTGACAAACCTTTCAAACGTGGACCCATTCCACTTTGATAAGTGGGTAGCATCCCAAACAAAATGCGGCTCCAGTGTAGAGTCCTTGACAAGTTCTAGTATCCAGTTCCATAGATTCAAGCGATAAACGTCAAAGCAAACTTCCTTGTCGAGAAGCTTGATAGAACAGGTATGCTTTTCAAACTGTCATTGATATGTTCAGCAAGATCAACGGTTAACAATGATCATACTTACAGGAGTAACCAAGTTTGCTGCACGGTCCCAGCTAGTTTTCACATCCTTTCTAGTTTTGATATCTGAAGGAGTAAGGTGTGCCTCATCTAGTGCTGAGGATTTCAACAGCTTGAAAAACTTGTCCATTTGCCTTTCACTAAGTGCAGCATCTAGGACAAATTCTGCGATGTTAAAATCCCGACAGGATGAGAAGGGACGCCAGGGACATTGATCGATCAGAGGATCAATATGTTGATCTGCTGCTTGGGACCAGTACTGATCAAAATGGTCAATTATGGTCGCTTTACCACTGGATGGGTGGAATATCATTCGGATGTCATCAACTTGAAGCTCTGGGTCTCCGTTCTCGGCTTCTGATGTCACAGGACTATCAGGTATGTCCACAAAACTATTGGCTTCATCAACATGAGAATCTAACAAGATGTCACCATTAGAAAACATGCAGTAGAAAATTATTTTACTCACAAGCATGTGCCCAATCATGATCTGGAGATCATCGGTTAGCTGATGTTGTGGAAATGTCCAGCTGAACTTACTCAAGCTGTCAGAGACCTGACTATCAGATATGTATAAAGATTCATGCGTATCTCCTAGTGTTACTAAAATTATAGTTAGACTATTCGCAACATCAGGCAGATCAACATACCTGATGGAGAAACACTTGACGTAACATAGGTCGGTTGTAAAACTGCTTTCTCGAAACGTGTATCGGCGACATGCTGGTGCAAGTCTCGCTGACAGGAAACCTCATGTCTTTTGATACCACGGCGAGAAAAAAGGCCACCACAATGGCTGCATGAGATCTTTGGCTCGGAGGACATGAGTATCGATGATTTCTAACAGCTTAACAAAGAGAAGGTTTATATAGCTGAGCAGCACTTGCGCAAGTATAGAATCACTCCATGTGGTTGCAAAATTTCTACATGTGCATCTGTGATGCGTCAGTGAGAGCATGATGTCAATAACTTCACATTGTCTCCTCATTTCTTTCATCTAGAGTGGTCTAGCTTGTCAGGCCTAATTGCCTCGAATATTAAGCGATAGGTCTAGAGTTCCTTCTTGGATGTCGAACGGAAAATTGACTTGATTATCTCAGTAGGTTTGAGTACTTTTTTCTGCCTCATGCAGTGGGCTTCAGGAAATACGTCAGTATACACAGTTCACCGTGTGTCGGTGGTGCATGCTCCCATTTACAATGTTTGACAGATCTGAGTAAAATCCTCGCTTAAGGCAATAAGATTGACAAAATTTGTTGACAAATATGCATATTACTACTGAGTTGTTGTAATCGTCGGGTTTTGCATGATACTGTACTCGGATATTGAGAGTTTATAGACCTTTTTACCATTCTCCGCTTGCTTGTACCATGTGCACTGCATGCGGTGAATGAGACTTTTCCGCTTTTCCCCCTGTCTAATGATATAACACTACTGATTTCCTTATTTCAAATACTCTTGTCCGGTCCGGTCATTACGACGACATTGACAGCACAGCAAAAGTACCCTCGTTATCTTTGAAGCCCGGTTAAAGCTGGCCTTTGGTATAAAAGCCTGTCACAATGTCATCTGAATTGCCAGTCTTTCACGTTATCGTCCCCATTCCCAGCATCTTCTGGTCTCCTCTCATTTCAAGAAGTTGTCGTTGCAGAAGCGATCTGCGTACGTGTTGGGTGTGTATGCTACATGATGAATCTTTGTGGCTCTGATGTTGTACTATCTAGTTTCCCACATTTACATCTATAATGGCATCGGGCTCAAACTACCCCCATGGTCAAAATAAGTACGTCTCTTTTCAAAATAACTGTATCGTACTTAAAGCTTAAAACTTGCTATTAGCAACCAATCAACAGGCAATGCCAATAATGTGCCTGACTGGCACATGTCCAGTCCAGGGCCTAGCTCTCCACAACGTGGGCAAGTCAGGTTATCTCGTCTTTATTGTTGTGATTACTCATAGCTCAGCAGCGCCGTTTCTGCGAGCCCAGGGGAGACCCTGTTGAAAATCAGTAAGTCAATTGAAATTTTCAATCTGCATGTCAGACCTTGATTATGCCAACACAGATGCTACGGTCCAAAAGCTAGAAAGAGAGATAGGCAACATGGAAGTAAGATCGTTATTATTTTCTAATCTAGCGAGGCATACTGATAGAGTTACAGGATAAACACAATGAAGTGTGTCATAATCTGTCAGCCCTCATGGACAGTTTAAACTCGTACTTGATCGAGATCAATTCTAAGACGGACAAATCGAAACGGGAATATCGATCAATGTCGCAAGATATCCACAGCATAAAGAGTGGGATTGATGGCCTGTCAGGCCTGATGCAGCGCCTCGTTGAGGTGCAGGAGGAGCAACTCAGACAGCTCAACCATCTTGTCCAACGCGCACGAGGGCCTCAATCCACCTCTCCCGGTTTATATAGTGGTCCTGGGTCTCCCGGTCCTGGCCAGGCTGGCCCAAATTCTATGGGCCGATATAGTCGCAATTGAGAAGGTGAATATTTGAATCTTATACTCTTAACTTTTGTTATTGATTTTGCGCTCGTTAGCTACCTGGACCTTGTCGGACATTTTTAGCTAAGGTCTTGCCATTTTTGGGAATAGGGCGGCCATTGTTAGGGGGGTTCATTCTGATAATGTTCATTGTCATGTGACTGTATTACTTAATAATTTCAGTTGCCTTATTAGGCTTTGACACTTTTTCCGACATTTGTTTACGAGTGTCTAACAATTTTAAAAGCGGTATAATTCCTATCAGAGGCACTTGAACACCTTGCGGAGGATACACATGCACCAGTCACCAAAAAACTTTGAATTTTTTTCTGTTTTTCCACATAGAAATACTTTAACCTTCGTACAGTGTTACACTTGTGTGTTAGTTAACCTATCATTATTGCGCGCCGTAAATTCTCGGCACTAAGTTGCCTACGCTGCACTCCTTTTGACTGCCTCAAGTCAAAGACGAACGTTAAAAGATAGAGAGTGAAACCGAAAGCGACGATCCATTCAAGGATGGCTAATGAATATAAGTGACCGTCAAGGAAACATTAGTAGTGGGCGAGAACAAACCTCCGACATGAGGACTTTGGTAATATGCAATTGCGAATGCAAAGACCAAGAGAATAAGGAGGGTCGCTATGATAGCTTTGGCGAGGTATGCTATCTTCAATGTCCTGACATGTTGGAAGTCTCTGCTGAGCCATCGGAACTAAGGTGAACCGCTATCAGAACCGTACACGTACAGCATGAGCGCGAGGGCAGTGCCTACCTCAATAACAGTAAAGATAACACTAATGGCAACGCCAAGCATGAACATGAACAAGAACACTTGATGAAGAGATGTGTAGCGTTTTGTGTCGAAGATCGATAGTAGAATGATCCCACAGCTCCCAATGAACGAGCCAAATATCGACAGATATCCAAAAACCCGTTCCCTAGCGCGCATGTAAGGCACTAAGCTGATAGTCGATGAGCTCCATTGAAAGTGATGTAACATGAACCGTACCGGCCAACATGTCTTAAGCCCCGCTCGATACATAAGGACAAGAAGAAGCACACAGCGGTTATAGTACAACCAACTATGAAGAGAGGCTTGAGAATATCGGCGCCTAACACGAGTATGTTTAATAGACAGACGCAGAAAGTTAACGAGCGGATTCTCCACCAATATCAGATATGCATGCGATTGAACCTTGCATAGACACTATGAATGAAATCAACATAAGCTCGGCCTCACTTCAGAAGAAAAAAACGCACCGTAATGTGGTCGCCCAGTGGCCAGCCATGTTATCAGCATGGATAGTAGGGTAGCTGACGAATACTATGAGAAATCAGGAACACGAGGTAATGCTGGAACTACAGTACAGAACCACACGAAACCCCCAAGAATGGGTATCCAGACATAGGTCCAAGGTTGATGTTCGTCACTCATAGAGATCAGGTCGAGGAAGAGGAAGAGGAAGAGAAGAGAGAAGAGAGAACGAGGCCCCAAGAACAGACATGTTATAAGATGTGAATTTCGATCCAAGAACGCGGGTCCACACGCGTTGATATCATTGCTCCATGAAATATACGCGTATCTTAAACTCAGCATAATACATTGTGGAATTTTCGGCTGCTAACACCACTGTGACTAGATGTCGCTGATGAAATTTGCGCCGGATAAAAGACGAGGATTCGGGGAGAGAACGAGAATGTCACGTGCATGGAAAACTTCGAACTTGTCCACGGCCCTGGTGACGTAACCCGGACCGCGTTAAACGAAGATTGTCGTGGGATCTCCTGGTCTCTCCAACAGTATCCATGCCAGGAAACTTGCAATAACAAACCATCTGAGTCAACATTTTCTGAACGAGTGTACATCCTTTGAATTCACTTGAAGAGGACCGGCATATTTGACTAGCGGGTGAGGCCTTGAGGGCCAGCTCATATGGTGGCAAAACCGAGTCCTATTTCTATCACACTTATTCAGGAGATCATCGGTAGATGAATGCATCAGGCAACTTCCCGATTGGATCCTTACCACAGGTTGTATATAATGAACAGGGCAGCAACCGGTATACGCGGGACGGAGGATGTCGAGGATATCAACACAGCATGCTTATCCAACGTATTCTGCCTGAGATCAAATCGGACACATGCTCTTCACCTTAACTTTGGGGAGCGAGTGGGGGCGGGACAGCGGAAACAGCGGGTCGAAAACATTAATCGGGAATATCTTCCCACGGTTACCCTCTTTATACTACCATTATCGACGCGCGACGCCACCATGCCTCGCAAGACGACTCTTGACGCCTTTCCTCCCAAACACGATGTTGACTCGCAGACGACATGACACGTCACTCCGCAATAACACACGTCGCAAAGACGGGCAGGGTTTCACACCAAAACACATAGCATTGCGCTGTGCAGGCTATGCGGATGCTCAGATAGACCGCCCCACTACATGGGGACACTGATTACCGGTGGTTTAAGTATAGTGTTAGTGGGAAACTGTCAGTCAAGGTCATTGACAATATGCATCTACTGATACTCCATTGACGTAGCAGAAGTATGGCGAGCGCTTCGCAAGGCAACTCACACGATGCTGGCTACACAGCTTTCACTACAACATCTGGTCATTCAGAAGGCGGAGGCCGCGCAGCTCATGTACGACATTTTGCGATCACCTGAAGTAGGTTGTACTCCCCTTCCGTTTGTTTCATCCAGAGCTGATAATTCCATGACAGGCCTTCTTTACTCACATCCGCCGTTACTCGAATTCTGTCATTTTGTCCGTACTAAATGGAAAGCGTTGTCCGCGCTACGAATTTCCAGAAGCGAAGGCATTTTATACAGTGAATCGTCTATGGAATCACGCACCGGAACCTGGAGCACATCCTCCTCTAGATCTGTTACCTTTTCTGAGCTATCTGCCAGGATCGTGGAAAGATCTTGCAAGCAGGTTAGGACACTACAGCGCCAGCTGTACTTTGGTTTACTCGATGAAGGCTGCCAAAACGACGAAATCTAGGTACCACTAAAGTAGCAGGAATGAGCAGTCGTCATCGGCCGATAATAGCCGGGACCAGATTTGTCCCCACTCGGCTTGCACTCGGTCTCACCTCCGTCCTTTACTAAGACTTCATTGCTGAACTACAGACATCCTTTAGCTTAGCGACTGAGTACTGGGAACTAATACTTCTGATTCTGTGGCCATCAGTGCTTTTTTGCATATATAATTGCCCTGGCACCAAAACCGAAGCTTCTACCAGCACATAGAATGAACCTGTGGACCTCGACATAGAAACGAGAGACTTTCGGATTCCCCCTATTGCGATCCAGCATTCGTCTGCCACCGACTCCAGTCATAATGGTCCTGATAAAACTCTCAGTGCTTGTCGCATGTCTTGCCGAATTTCTTGTTTTAACGAACGGTAGGCTCATCGTCGATACTGGATACGCAAAGTACCGTGGCAACCTTTCGTACCCTGACACTGTCGCATATCTTGGTATCCTCTACGCAGAACCTCCTCTTGGTGACCGTCGGTTTCGTGCACCCATCCCTTTGAACACTACGCGAATCGCACTAGAAGCGAATGGTGCTATCTTCGTGCGACATTCTACCCCGACTTTTGCGTCCAGGGGTCTACTCTGGGTATGTATGCCACATGCTAGTCCTTTCAAGTAGTTCTGAGTCTGAGGCACCATTTTATATTTCAGTCGGTGACGCAGGAGGCGCAGGCAGTGAAGACTGTTTGAATGTTAACATTTATTCACCCGTCAATGGAAACGATTGTAGGCATCTCGACAACATGCGAAACATTATTAACGACGCCATTCTAGTACCCGTACTTATTTATATTCATGAGGATCCTACGTTTACGGCAACCCGGCCACCTTTCCATTCGACCATTGGGTCCATCAAAGCCTTAACGTCGTCATCGTCACCATCTATTACCGTCTTTCGTCCTTTGGGTTCCTCGCTATCCCGGAATTCTCAGACACCGCCAACGGAGACTTCAATGTAGGCTTTCTTGACCAGACACAGGCCCTCAAATGGGTCAAGCGACATATACGAGCGTTCGGCGGGGATCCGTCGAGGGTGACTATCAACGGGCAGAGCGCCAGAGGAGCCTCGGCTTCACGCCCCACCCTGGTTTTCGAAATGAATTCCAGTCGCTAGAAGGTTGTTCACCATATGTATCTCTGTGCCGGCTGCAAAAGATAGAAGTTTTCATTATTCTACAATACAGTCTTGGAATCACAAGACGGGCGTTCTTTCCCAATGATCTTTTGATACGACAGCTATTCCCAGGGTTGACATGTATTGATGACAAATTCTCTGCTTGCTATTGGCTCCGGAATTTGAATGGGATCCACTGGGCATCATTCTAGCTCAGTCATGAGGTGATCCTCAGGTACGCTCTATTTAGCATCAAGGAAGTACTCATCAATAATGTATTAAAGCATAGCCGCCGTCCTGTTTCATGGCGGGTTTTCGTTGTCTTTACCTCCTTTCACATACGTGTGGGTGAGCATCACGACTGGCAGCGTCCTAGATGGACTAGTATCGTGTTTTGGACCATTCCCGAACAGGTAAACGCGCAGCGTTATCACGATCACTACATTCTTTTTATTAGCTTGCAGCTACGTTTGCTTATACATTATTGTTCCCCGCGTTCACAGGCATAGATATTCCAGGTGTGACTATCGCTCTCGAACAGCACTATTTTTAACATACACTTACTATAAAGAGCTTCGAAGGTGAGCCGTTTTTGCCTCATCTTCTACTCTATCGTCCTTTCTCTTTGGTTCAGCAGACTCATTGATCATGCTTGAATTTCTGCTAGCTCTCTTCTGTCTATTTCTGTCAGTAAGGTCGCTTGAAGTCCTTGGTTCTTCGGGAGATCTACCTATTGTCAACAAAGAACTTGCTCCAGATGGATTCCTTCGTTCGTAGGTGCACGAATTCTGCCTAGAAGTACGCGTGCTGACTATCAGTAGGACGGTCCTTCCAGGTGGAACGTTGCCGGGACCTGTGATAAGTGGTATCAAGGTGGTTTAGGATATCTACTTGACGGTATATGTTCTAAGATATTGTTAGGGAGGCAGCTTCCAAATCAACGTCATCGATGAATTGACGGACCATACCATGGCTCTCGATACTAGTATTGTAAGTGCGTTTCTCCGCCCCACCTTCCCGCCTCTCATGTTCTTCAGCACTGGCACGGTATCCACCAACATACGACCAACTTCGAAGATGGTTCTACTTCTGTTACGCAGTGTCCAATCGCGCAGAACAAGTCGTTCATGTATGACTTCCACGTTCCGGACCAGGCTGGGACGTTTTGGTACCATTCGCACCTCTCCGTTCAATATTGTGATGGGGAGGTCGGGCCTTTCATCGTGTATGATGGAGTGGATGGTCAGAATGACCCTCATCGGTCCTTGTATGATGTCGATGATGGTCGGTATATCTATTCTGGATCGATCAGAGCCGTACTGATTTATCTTACAGAAAACACCATCCTTGTAATATCAGATTGGTGAGTCTGTGAGACGAGGACTGAGTCTAGTATTTTCTTACATGGGATATTTTCTAGGTATCATTTGCCAACGCCAGCCATAATCAATACGACAGTGACGCCGGATCCTGATTCCACCCTGATCAATGGTATGGGTAGATACTATCAAGATGTAAGTTAATTATCGTTCTTCCCAAGGCGTTGCTCAAGGGACATTCCATGCATAGCCCACAGCTCCTCTCTTTGTTATGACCGTCGCTCCAAACAAACGTTATCGGCTACGACTGATTTCTGTATCGTGCAACGCCGCCTTTCAATTCTCCATTGACGGTCATAATTTCACTGTCATCGAAACGGACGGCATCAATCTTCAGCCCATCACGGCCAATTCGCTTACGATATTCGCTGCTCAGAGATTCTCAATTATATTGGAGACCAATCAACCGGTTGATAACTACTGGATTCGGGCCAATCCTGATGCTGGGAATCTCGGGTTCGAGAACGGGATCAACTCTGCTATATTGAGATATCAAGGTGCGGCTAATTCCGAGCCGACGACTTCGATACAACAGCATATTATTTCCCCGCGCGAGGTAGATTTGCATCCACTGGAATCTCCTGGAGCCCCTGGAGAGCCATATCCCGGTGGGGCGGATGTCGTACTCAATCTCACTCTCGCCGTTGACAATGCTACTAACGTCTTCTTAATAAATGGTGTCCAATTCGTACCGCCCACTGTTCCCATACTACTCCAGATCTTGAGCGGTACTCAGCGGGCGCAGGATTTGTTACCCCCAGGTTCTGTATACGGATTACCGTTGAACAAGACTATTGAAGTTAATATCTTTGGCGGACAAGCGATCGATGGACCTGTACGTTCTTCTTCCATTCCTCCTTTCAACCTAGTACTGAAACTGCACTTTCCCAGCATCCGTTCCATCTCCATGGCGTAAGCTTCTCTCATAAATCAAGAACGGGTTCGTTCGACTGAATGCATTTACAGCATAGCTTTGACGTCGTGAAAAGCATGGATAGCGATACTTACAATTTCAAGAATCCGGTCCGTCTTAAAGCCACGCTCACGGTTATGTGTATGCCGATAATGCCAAAATCGTAGGCCCGCAGAGATACCACTCCCGTTGCCGAGGGCAACTTGACAACGATTCGATTCAGGACTGATAATCCAGGGCCTTGGTTCTTGCACTGGTGCGCACATCTAACCCTCATGATACGCATGCTCTGAAACAGTATTGATAGCCACATTGAATTCCACCTCGACGCGCGCGTTTCATTTCCTCCTCTGCGATTCTTATCACCTAAAATTAAATTCTAGTGGTATGGCTATCGTTTTTGCTGAAGCCACCCCCGAAGTGGCAGAGGTAAATTCAGACATTCCAGGTGGGTCATCACGCATCATATTTTGATTTAGGATACGGTAAAAGCTGACACGTACGTTTTTAGCGAGTTGGTACGACCTTTGCCCGATCTACTACAATCTTCCCCCAGACGTGACAACGAATGATACCCAATATATGGTTCCTTTGGATTAATTTCGCTCCCTCGTTGGTCGGACTGTGATACTTCTCTCGTTTCATCTTTAAGACTATGTTTATAAATTGTTGGACTGGACATATATCTAGTGGATAGTATCATTGACTGAATGCCCCACAGGTTTTGAGCTGAGTTCGTGTCTCACGTTAATTTTTAACTTGGTTTCAACAAAAGTCGTAATCGGCCAGTGAATCAGGACCATGTCCGTCAAGAAAAACAACGCAAAAGTAAATAAGTGAATGTTTTCTCCCAGATTTTCATTGACCTTGCCAAGGCCTTGGTTGCCAAATAAAGCCTAAAACGAGTATCCGGAAATTGCCGCCGGCTATTTACCTTGACCTTTTTTTTCCAATGAGACCAGTCGTATCCTACGATGATATCGTCCCAGATCCTCATTCATACATGAATAGGGACTCACGGCCGCCAGTAAAGAAACCCAAAACGAACGGAAATGCCTCTGTTGCATTTGAGCATAGTAGAGAGCTCACTCATGCCGAAATTTGGAACGATTCTGTGCTTATTGATGCATGGGAAGCCGTCCATGAAGAGTATGCGGTATGGCATTTCTTTAATCCTTAGCTTCATTTTCTCAAACGCGTGCAGGCCTATCACGGGGGTGATACTGCCTTGAAGACCAATCCTACTAAAAGGTCACCACTGTATGCGTATTATCCATGTCTACGAAACTGCCTCTATAATACACCACAGATGGTACAATGTCCCCGTTAGTGATGATTCAAAGGTTGAAGAAGACGACACTGAAAATTTGTCATTCCCGGAAGAGGAAGACGACGACGACGAGTCAGATGACGACGACTCGAAATCCATCGACTTCAAGACATTCGTTCCATCTCATGATGCCTCCCTAAATTCAGGAGAAGACTTGGTTACTGATGCATCGTCCAGTCCTCCCCAGCCACCTGCAGAGACAGTTTCGCAGGATGAGGCATTTACAAGGGCAGTCAATGCAATGTACTGGGCTGGATACTGGACCGCTATGTACCAGGTACGGTTTTCTTTGTTTACCATGAACCGTCACTCATACATGGCGGACGTAGTGTCAGAGAAATAATGTTGTCGATGCAGAGGAGGGTGAAGTTGAAGGCATGGTCTCTGAATTTGTTTCGACACAGCGATGATGGAGTTTGGTACCAATGTAAAAGGTATGCTGTTAATCGTAGTCATTCAAATTGCCACAGATCCATCCATGTCAGGCCTTGGCATCCAGGTCGACCAGAAGAACTCTGGCGCAAGCGACAGCGCCGCTCTGCCTTTGGCCTATCTTTGTCGATGGAACGCATCAGTACCTGCAAAGTCTGACCCTTTCCCCTTGTTTCATCCAGAGCTGATAATTCCATGATGGCAGGTCACATCCGTCGTTACTCGAATTCTGACATTTTGTCCGTAAGGATCGTGGAAAGACCTTTGCAAGCAGGTTGGGACACTGCAGCGCCAGCTGTACTTTAGTTTACTCGATGAGGGCTGCCAAAACGACGAAATCCAGGTACCACTAAAGTAGCAGGAATAAGCAGTCGTCATCGGCCGATAATAGCCGGGACCAGATTTGTCCCCACTCGGCTTGCACTCGGTCTCACCTTCGTCCTTTACTAAGACTTCATTGCTGAACTACAGACATCCCTTAGCTTAGCGACTGAGTACTGGGAACTAATACTTCTGATTCTGTGGCCATCTGCTTTTTTGCATATATAATTGCCCTGGCACCAAAACCGAAGCTTCTACCAGCACATAGAATGAACTTGTGGACTTCGACATAGAAACGAGAGACTTTTGGATTCCCCCTATTGCGATCCAGCATTCGTCTGTCGACTCCAGTCATAATGGTCTTGATAAAACTCTCATTGCTTGCCGAATTTTTTGTTTTCGTGAACGGTAGGCTCATCGTCGATACTGGATACGCAAAGTACCGTGGCAACCTTTCGTACCCAGACACTGTGGCATATCTTGGTATCCCCTATGCAGAACCTCCTCTCGGTGACCGTCGGTTTCGTGCACCCATCCCTTTGAACACTGCGCGAATCGCACTAGAAGCGAACGGTGCTATCTTCGACGCGGCATCCTACCCCGACTTTTGCGTCCAGGGGTCTACTCTGGGTATGTATGCCACACGCTAGTCTTTTCAAGTAGTTCTGAGTCTGAGGCACCATTTTATATTTCAGTCGGTGACGCAGGAGGCGCAGGCAGTGAAGACTGTTTGAATGTTAACATTTATTCACCCGTCAATGGAAGCAATTGTAGGCATCTCGACAGCATGCGAAACATTGCTAACGATGCCATTCTAGTACCCGTACTTGTTTATATCCACGGAGGAGCCTACGTTTACGGCAACCCCGCCACCTTTCCATTCGACCATTGGGTCCATCAAAGCCCTAACGTCATCATCGTCGCCATCTATTACCGTCTTTCGTCCTTTGGGTTCCTCGCCATCCCAGAATTCTTAGACACCGCCAACGGAGACTTCAATGTAGGCTTTCTTGACCAGACACAGGCCCTCAAATGGGTCAAGCGACATATACGAGCGTTCGGCGGGGATCCGTCGAGGGTGACTATCAATGGGCAGAGCGCGGGAGGGGCCTCAGTAGAGCTCCATCTCGTTGCGCATGAAGATGAATCGCTGTTCTCTGGCGCTATCGTGCAGAGCGCTTATGGAACCCCTCTTCCATTTCCCGAGCAGCAGCAGGTAGGTTATCTCATCACTTAACCGTCAGTGCTTTGACTGATCTGCTCATAGCCCTTGTTCGACTTTTATGCCGAGCGAGCAGGATGTGGAACTGGCGGCCTTTCTTCCAAGCTACAATGCCTGAGAGAAGCCAACGTGAGCGCTCTTGCTCATGCTCAAGATGCAGCGGCAAATGGTGAATTGTACGTTCATTTTTAACCACATTTCCAACTGTCTTACTTAGATTCTGTCAGTGCTGGTCCATACAACGCCTTTCATCCTGTCATAGACGGCAAGACCTTCACCGAATTCCCAACAGCGTCTCTGGGTTTGGGTCATTTCGCCCGCGTCCCTCTTATCGTCGGGTAAGTGCTGTCGTATCCTTCTCAAAATGAGAACTTGAACAAAGCTAGCGCCGATTCTAACGAATCATATGTTCTGGGGTACGATATACCGTCATCCTTGAAAATCCTATTCCCGGGACTAGATGAACAAGACACCAGTGATTACCTCTTCGTGAGTGACTTTCGACCTGGTGGCTCTTTTGAACCCAACCCTTCAGGCGTACCCATCTTCGGACTTTGACTCTGAAGAACAAAGACTGGCCGCAGCGACAGGTGAATCTTTGAATCGATGTTGTGTGAGTACATTCAAGTGCTTAAAGTTTTCGGTTGTATTGACATACTCTTTCGCAAAAAGCGGCAAATACTGGCCAGTGCATATTCCAGCAAAGGAATCAATACATGGGCCTACCGATACAACCAACCCAATCCGACGAGTGATAATCCTACCATCGTCGCTCACGGGGCGGAGAATTGGATGATGTTCCTAGGCAGCAATACAGGGTAAGTACATCCTCTTTCTCTGACCCTCCCTTGAACTGACGCGAGGTCAAGGTACAATGGTTCCGCGACGTTCAGCTCAATGACGCCAGAGGAAACGGCTTTTTCACAGGAGCTGATCGCATATTGGCTTTCCTTCGTACGGGCAAAAGATCCAAATACTTTCAAGCTGCAGCGATCACCCGTCTGGGATCGCTTCTCCTTGGGCGAGAAAAGGCAGATTGTTTTGCAACAGAACACTACGACGATGAGTGGGGGTTTTGTTGAACTCGCTGATGAGAAAGAGGTGGCTAGGTGCCAGTTCGTTGCTAGTAAGGTGAAGAAGGAACAGAACTAGGTTCAGATTGTGTTCAGAAGTATGATAGGTGATGAATATGAATATGTTCAGATTCGGATACGACAGAGTATCGCTAACCGAAGTCACCATTAGGTTCCAGATTATGCTCTGGTTTCTGGTCTGGTTGCGACAGCTGTACGCTGTATTGCACGGGCGAGACTAAAGTCACAATCAAAAAGAAAACCCGCCAAAAATCAGGACAACGCGCACCAAGGAACAGTTGATATTCGACCCTAATTTCCCAGAAAACTCAATGCTGGTCTTTCTTAATAGTGGTAGCAAGGCGGTGTTCTGCCTATTGAATCGTTGCATTGAGAATGGACTGTCGACATACTCATGGTGCAACAATCTTATATGTTGACATCCCAGGCCAATATTGTTGCTGGGAGGAGGGAATGCGGCTGCAGGGTTCATTGAGAATTTGTATCAAAATGGTGACCAATAGTAGAGTACATTAAAGATAATTAAATTTAAATAGAGATGTGCTAATTCATCACATGCGCCTCGTGTATAAGAGTTCAACCTCAAACATCTGTGACGTCAAAACCATTGTTTCCGAGTCTGCAAAGTGCGCATGCACCTCAACAAGATGATGTCCCGGTGTTGCAACCGCAAATGTAAACCTCACCCTAACGTCCTCTTCAACTACACGACTTTCAAGTGAAATAGCGTCAGCAGATCCCTCGACAGTGGCATCGGCGACAGCAATGGGCCCTCTCAATTCAAACCAAAGAGAAAATCGTGGAACGACAGAACGAATCTGGATGTTTTTCGGGCGTGATTCAAGGTCGTATTTGTCGGACAGGGATAACAATGGGCCACGCTTGATGATGGGTGCAGTCAGGGGCAGTGGACTATCCCTGCGAACTGTATGTTCCAACAGCTTGCGGGCATAACCTTCAAAAACCGAGCTCTGCAGTCAAATCCATCCCACGATCACGTAGATCCAGTACCGTCTGACCTGCAACGAGGACAAAACGACTACCATCTAGGTCCTGCACGGAATACTCGCCAAACTCATCAAGCCCTCCGCGAGTCCATACGTCCTTGATATCGCGAGAAGTGCTGGTGATGATTCTTGCAAGCCAGTGACGTGCAGCCTGTTTAGAAGCAGCCATGTCCAAGACCCCCGTCGGCATCTATCTGCGACGCGACGTGGACATTAATACTGATCATTGTCGAAGTGCTTGTCTTTGCTCCTTTACGTTCCAGCCACCAGCATGCATCTGTGCTCGCCTCTGTCACCCGACATATCCCGACTTCGGATTGTGTACCAATCATCACCCAACACCTCCTTGATCCACTCGGAAGGTTCGCCCAGTGACATAATATTTATGGAACTGAGTATAGTTCCAGCATCGGTTAGCCAAGGGAGCTCAACTCAAGACGTCCCTTCAATCGGTAGGAAGCATTCTGGTGATGTGTCATTTTTACGTCCGCTTTGCACCCTATTCAGCACACCTTCTAGTGTGAGGATTCACTACCTTGCGATATTGACAACCTCGTGTAATTTATAGTTTAGCAGGCAGCATCAGCAAATAGGATAACATTCCCCTGTTTGTAAGTTTTTGATTGGCTAATTTTAACAAGTGTATACGCGTAGTTTGGTGGCAAGTGAAAGTGAACAAAAATGCATAACAAAGGCGCGAAAGCGGAGGGTAGTAATACATTGTAATATCCAACTCAAAACACATTCCATGATTGTTTGTACACAGGCTCAGCGACAATTGACCTGTCATTTATCGCGTTTACCATATACCCAAACGTCAAAGCTTCTTATCGCTCAACTCCGTCACCCCCTCCTGGACCTTCTTGCGAGCTCTTAATGACTCGAGCTCCATACGAATCTGAGCATTCGCAGAACCAGCCTGGGAATCGAGCAATGGCGGTATCGCTCTGCGTCTTCGGGAACCAGGGCTTGACGTGCTGAGTCTACCGACGACGAAAACGCGCGGCAAGGTGCCAGATTTCGCAGCGGGAGACTGTTGCTTCGCTGTTGGCGAAACCTTAGCCTTCGACTCTGGAGTAATTAGCGGTTTCGCTTCCGGTGCGGTAGGAGTCGTCGCATCTGGAGTAAGGGGAGGCTTGGCTTCCGGAGTTGATGGTGCCTTCATCGGGGAAGCCTCCTCCACGGGTTTCTTGTCAACAACTTCCTCTTCATCAATCCATTCGGACTCCGACTTGGTGCTGAATTGATTCATAGACACCGAGGACGAAAGAAGGTCTGAGTCGTCATGGGTTTGGATGACAACAGAGTCAATGTATGTTGAAGACGACACTGGGGTTCTTGGGGACGGAGATGATAAAGCAGAATAGATAGACATGGATGTTCGGCGAGGAGTTCGGGAGGGAGTCAGACGAAGAGACGAGGGTCTGGACCTTATCCTCGTAACAGACTCCCGTTTAGGGTGTTTGCGAACGGGAATTCTTGTGTTGGAGGAGAATGAGCGTGGAATAGATATCTTGAATGGACGAGGGACTGATGTCGGTGTAGTGGTATGAGGAACGTGGGTCTGTGCGTCACGACGCCGCTCTGCATTCTCCTTTCCCAACGTCTTGGGCTTCTTGGGCACCGGTCGTGGAGACGATACGCGCTCCGTATCCCGGATCGCTGTTACTTTGAAGATGGGCTTCTTGGTAGGCTCCTTTGCAAGTGGTTTGTCGCGACTGGGCGCTGGTCGAGGCTTTGCTTTGGGCGTTAGAGGAGGTTTGGCGTTGGGCGTTGATTGTAGCGACGACGGCTGCGACCCATGGTACTTCTCAACCAACACCAGAGACCTAAGCCCAGGCGATTCGGGCGTCGCAGATCTCCTCTGCAAAGGCGAGTTGAGTTTGTACGCGAACCTGGTTGGTATCTTCGACTGGCTCCTAGAGGCGGCGACGGTAGGTGATTTGAACCCTGTGGGCATTCTGCAGATATCCTGGCTTAATACCGTCCAACACAAACGATAAGGAAAGACTCACGTTGGAGAAGGATAGCAGTCCAAGGGGAGACTTGGTTGTGGTTGTGGTTGTGGTAGGAGTGAGGAAGCGTGCTGTACCTTATCCAATGTTGGCAATGTTGATAATGGTTGACATCGAGGGGTTCCGTTGGGACGTACTAGAACCCACCACTAGCATCCGAAAGTTCTCTTTCAGTGATGCACCCCAATTAATATCCAATCCCGTGCAAGAACGGCGAACTCGCCACTGCCTCGTGCCCTGCCACGGCCACGCCTTTGATTCATCCTCGGATCCCAACACCCAGAAAAATTGATGTGCGGAAATCATTAGTCGTCCTCAAAACGAAAAGCAGGATAACTTTGCTGGAAGACGCGTACCGTTCAAATTTGGGCTGTCTTTCGGTTCTTCGTGGTAATTTATCAGGGAATCCATACGGCGTATGCTGGTACATTCCGCGTCGAACCGTAGGCCTCGTGGCAGCCGTGCCGTTGATATGAAAGACATATGGAGAAATCGGGGTAAGTAACAGAACACGATGGTCATGGGGGTAATTGGTCAAGACGCGGGGTAGACGTAACCGTCTTGCCACAGCATGACCGCTACCTTACTTTGTTGAGTATATGTGCCGCAATATTAGTCTTCTAATCGTATACGAAGAAGTTTTGGCTTCAAATTTTGGCGTATAGCATTGCAGGTAAGGCAGGCAATATTTTGCACCAGTATTGTGTGGCGAGGTATTTCTCGCTTTAGTCGAAATATGCGGGATGGATATGATTGGCGGAATTATTCAAAACTCCGAATTCGTAGCTTCAGAAAAGTCTGGACTCGGAAGTGGGCGAGCGGAATTTTAACACAGTGATGGCCGGAATCCGGCATCGCGATGATCCAAACAGGTTCTTATCAAGACTTCGCCCTCCCTTGCTTTACAAACTCACGGTGCGCCTGGAACTTACGTTTATGTGTCAGGATTATATTATTGACTACACATAGATGGACCAATGCCGTAGTTAATGATGAGCAAGAGTAACACTGTCATCAGAACCCACTTCTTGACATTGAATATCCTCCGAATGTATTTCGCAACAACTATGGTCACTCTGGTCACTCCTCATCGAAGGCAAGAATACATATGCCCACGTTTCCTCAGTCCATTGATCACATCAGCTTGGTCACTTGCTATAGTGAGACAGTAGTAATCACATCTTCCCTTCATTTCCTCGACAGAATATAACGAGATCTCCTCTCCATATAACTATGTCGAAATGTACAACCACCCCCGTCTTCTTATCCATTCCTTTCACATCCCCGGATTTCGTGCTCCAACAATATGTTCTCCGCCTTTCTCCCAACCGCTACCAGACTTAACTCGAAAAGTTTTGGTTTCCTCCGAGATTTTCAGCATGAGCTGGAGACACACCTTTCTTCTGGCCTTTACGGCGGCGCTTCTCCCGCCATGTCAAGAAGCAACGGTTCACTAATCTCATTCTCGTAGCTGGACACCCTAGAGATAACGGGTGCCAACGGGCTCCGAATTATCGTACTGCTGTTGTGTAAAGCGGCATTTGCTACCATCGGCGCTTTTCTTTTTGCTCTATCCACATAATCTGAACGGGAAATATGCACGGTATCAAGCCTTCCTTCCTATTGCATGCCAGCCGGCCGATTATCCGCGCGCTGCTCTCGACATCCCCTCTATCCAACTTCTCATATCCTTTTTGACGACCAATACGATGTTCCTGGTGGCACATCACCATTGAAAAGTGGAAGAAAGCTCGGAGAGCAGTCCATTGAGAAGGGAGGGAAGGAAGGGGTGATTGAAAGAGATGAAGAGGCCGCCTGTCAGGGCATCTACATGGCGCCCGTCCCGTGTTATACCTGGGTTCGTCCAGTCAGATCATCGGTAGCAGCATGGAATGTATCTCCAATCTCGAGAAACTAAGGTGGGGCTGGTGTTACAATCACTCAGCAAGTTAAATGACTTGAAACGCTTATCCTCTTCGTCCCATGCGAAGTACTTCACGTGATTCCCGGTTGCTAGTGGCGCTTGGACTATCTCACTAAAGGTTACTGGTGAGATTGTTTTGCCATTTATTGTGATATTTCAATACTTACAAAAATCCCAGCACCGATTCTTTCAAATACTATCGGATATATCGTCTCTCCTTTCGGACTTGCGTATCAACACAGGACGCGCATAACTCCCAAACCAACATTTCGCCTGTGTATCATCATGGGCCCACTTCAACTTCCATATTCCTAGTCGGTGGCTATCCACTTGCCCGTCTCGTACGGAACAAACCAATCTGGAGCGCTTTCATGAAATCATCGTATCAAGGTTGTGTACCTTTCAGAACCTCGGGAAGACACCATTCGTTGATGACTTCCGGCATCCCATCACAGCGCGGTACCTTTTAGCACACTAAATGCAAGGATAAAAGCAACTGCTCTATAGCTTCCACGATATTCACCACCATCTAGTCAACCGACAAGCCGAGCTCCCCGCCTCACCTTCCACTCATGTCGCAACGCAGCACGCAGATTCGGAGCGCTAACCGTCGGGTTGATTTGCATTGATAACGAATTCCTCCGGCTGCCGCCTCGGGAATGCGAATAGGGACTCATTGGACAGCCATCAGTTCTGGACTTGATCAATCCTCAGGTACACGCTCTAATTTTACATCAAACGAGTGCTTCTAAATGTCGCGGTGAAGCATAGCAGCACATCCCGCCTTGAGACGGATTCCCGTTATCTTTATCCCACTTGACGTATTGGTAGGGTCGCTATCGCGACCTGCACCGTTCTAGAATGGACTTAGTAGCCTCTTTGGGGCTCTTCTCAGAGGTAAGTGCTGCTCCCAGCATCACAGTTCCCACATCGTTTGACCGACTGTCAGCTATATCCTTCCATTGCTTCTGCATCAACGGTTCCTGGCGCTCGCAGATATAGATATACCCCACGCGGG